AAAGAATCAACGTTGGCGGATTTTGGTTCTTGACATCCTTTACGATCGGTTACGATGCCTAGAGTACGGAGACCTGTACGATTTCGTCAACTTAGTGAGTTTGATAGGGGCCATATAGTGGGACTTCGGGAAGCTGGACTTTCTTTTCGGGCAATTGCAGTTAGAGTGCAAAGAAGTGTAGACACTGTGGTTAGGTGTTGTCAGGCATGGCTTCGAGAAGGCCGTACGCAAAGAGCAATGGGCACTGGACGCCGCCGTAGAACAGCAGACCGTGAAGATCGCCGCCTAAGATTATTGGCCTTAAGGGACCGTTTCTCCACTACCGGGTCCATTGCAAATGAATGGTTTGCAGAACACGGAAGACCTATTGGCATGCGAAGTGTTTATCGACGAATGAGAAGTTTTGGCTTGTTTTCATACCGGCCACACTGGGTCCTCCCTTTAACTCGAGAACACCGACGTAATCGCCTTGAGTGGTGCAGACAACGGTCACTCTGGGATCAGGAATGGAACAGTATTGTCTTTAGTGACGAGTCTCGATTTTGTTTATTCATGCACGATGGTCGTGCCAGGGTTAGAAGGCGACGTGGTGAAAGGAGGAATCCACAGTTTTTTGTTGAAAGACATGTTCATCACACTGTTGGAGTTATGGTTTGGGGTGCTATAGCTTATGGTTCCAGGTCACCTTTAATCTTCATCAGAGGTAACATGAACACGCAGCGTTATATCCACGAAGTTCTAGAACCCCATCTTTTACCCTATCTTGACACCCTGGCAGATCCAACTTTCCAACAAGATAATGCCCGACCACATGTTGCAAGAGTCACAATAGACTTCTTTCAACATAATGATGTCACATTGTTACCATGGCCACCAAGATCTCCCGACTTATCCCCAATTGAGCACGTGTGGGATATGATGAGTAGGAGATTGCTCAATTTGCAACGTCCTCCTCAGACTCTAGAAGCACTTCGAGAGGAGTTGGTGGTTGCCTGGAATGAGATACCACAGGAGCACATTGACCACCTGATCAGAATCATGCCTAGGCGCGTTGGAGAATGCGTAGCACATCAGGGTGCATCCATACATTATTAAAGGTCAAAGGGCTTTAAAACAGTGCAATCATTTTTATCTTACTTATTATGCTTCATTAAGTACTTATACAAAATTTTATTAAAATAAAACCATTTAAACTGGGTGTTCGGATTTATATGTCACTTAGTATATTAAATAACAAGTTACTGATTAGTATGGATTAATGTGGATGTAGATTAATTGTTAATTGGGAAATTGGCAAACTTTTAGGCTTTAGTTAACTCTTTTGACGATAAAATCAAGCTTTCGGCATTCTCTATGGAGCCTTCATCAGGATCTGAAAACACAATTGTGATGCTAGCAACCAATACAGGAACGACTTAAATTGTCAAACAACTTACTCGTCGTTGAGGTTGCAGACAAATAGTGTTTCAAAACAGATGAGAGCACTTGTTACAAATATAAAAACAATCGGACTGAAACATTGGGCTTATTGATAACGACAGATACCATCGTTATGCGTTAAAACTATCAATACACCCGAACATATTAAAAATTATTAATTAACGAGAAGGAATTTCGGGGAAACAATCGGAGTGCAGTTTCTAACCTCCTACTTCCGCTACACGTCGAGAGAGGGACGGAACGGAAAGATAATGCGTCGACAGATGACATGTGACGGAACGTGGAACTGTAAACCTCATTGTCCAATTTGGGTATGAAGTATTCGAAAACTTTGAGAAGAATTACAAAAAATTACCACCGCAACCGCATTGTATGTAATTACTGTTGGCATGTATATGAATTGTAATTCGACAGTGTACAGTAAATATAATTATTCCTTTTCTCTCTCATTTTTGAAATTCAGCAAATTTGCATATGTAATTTCCAGAACGGATTAGAAAAAGTAGATGCGCAACTAATTTCTAGCCTTGAATCTCAAGTAAGTGTATTTGATACAAGAATCCAAAGGAATTATCAACAACACACATTATCAGTATACAGCTTAGACCTCCAGTAATGGCATCTCTGAAGCAGAGTTTACATCACATCAGAGCCAAATATTGATAACTGAAACATGATGACGTTTCTCCCTGCTGACATTCGTCGGAAAATTTCTGACAAGACGGCTGCGATTAAGCAAGCAAAAAGGTCTTGTCATGCTGATGACATTCGTAGAGCGACGAATCTCGTCCATGAAGTGAGAAATGCACTCCATGAATTCCGCAATGAGCAGTGGAGCGGCTTTCTGGCGGGGATGCTTGAATCAAGTATTCCTCTCTGGAAAGTGGCAAAATCACTCAGAAACGGAAGGCAAGAACAACTACCACATATTCATGGTCCTGGAGGCATAGTTTTAGGACTGAGGATCAAGTGGAGGTTTTTGCTGACGTCATGGAAAGGCAGTTCTCTCCCAATTATGATCTGGACAATCACCTTGACGAGGAACGACAAATTGTAAGATCTATCAGGATATACTTCAGAGCGAATGGCGATACCAACATCGGTGCTAACATCGGAGACTCCTTTTCAGAAGATTCTTCTACGGAAGGCCACATTAAGGACCTAAAGGTGCGTAAAGCACCTGGAGAGGATCAGTTGCTTTCGCTCAAGGCTTTGACTTATCTGGTGGCAATAATCAATGCAATGCTTTCCTAAGGAGTGGAAGGTCGCTGAAGTCATCATGATCCCAAATAAGGCAGGTTCGATATTCCCCCAGGATTACCGTTCCATTAGTCTACTGTCAGCTCCTTCTAAGCTCGCTGAAAAGGTGATTTATCGTCACCTTGAGAATTTCTCGACAGATCACCATGTGATTCCTGACGTGCAATTCGGCTTTCGGTCTGAGCATAGTCCGGAGCGACAGGCAGTTAGACTGGTGGAGCATGTAACCAGCGGGTTCACCCTGAACAAAAGTACTGGTATCTTGCTTTTAGATGTATGAAAGGCGTTTGACAAGGTGTGGCACATGGGCCTCTTGTATAAGCTCATCCAAAAGGGTTTTCCATTTTGGCTACTAAAACTGTTGAAATCTTTTCTAGAAGGAAGTTTCGGATCAAAATTGACAATGTGTTGTCAACACGTAAGAGCCGGTATTCCTCAGGGTTCGGTCTTAGGACCAATCCTTTATTCACTTTATATACATGACGTCCCTTGCTCCAGCAACTGTGAAGTCTATCTCTATGCTGACGACACTGTATTGCTAGCCCAGTCTTGTTCTGGTAGCCTGGTTCACGACAGGCTGCAGAGTGCGGTGGAGAAAGTATTGGAGTGGGCGGATCGGTGATTGATCAAAATTAATACTTCGAAAATGCAGGCAATCTATTGGACTAAAAAACGTCGCGGTGCCCCCTCAGAGATATCAGTGAATGGAACTCGCATAGCATGGGAGCAATCTGTCAGGTATCTTGGAGTCATCATTGACAAGGGGTTGACCTGGCAGAAACATACTGATATTTTGAAAACAAAATTCCAAATTACCTTTCGGCAGCTTTATCCTTTGTTGTGCAGAAATTCAAAATTAAATTTGATCAATAAGATTCGGTTGTATAAAATGGTCATAAGACCCGCAATCACCTACGCATGCGCGGCTTGGTGTTTTCTTGCCAAGATGCACATGCAGAGACTGCACGTCCTGCAAAACAGAACCCTACCCACAATTACTAACGCCCCTTGGTACGTGTCAAATGAGACTGTTCACAGATATCTTGATTTCCCATATCTAAGGGATTACGTACAACAACAGGCGCAGCGGCGTTATAATCTAGCGGAATCGCACAGCAACCCTCTGTTGCGTGATTCAGTAGACTACATAGTCGAGCAAGTTCGCAAACATTCGCACTGTGATCAAAATTAAATTGTAAATTCAGACCAGCCAAAATTATTTCAGTAAAATTTTGAGTTACAAAATAATTCGAATAGTCAAAGCAATATTGCTTAAGCTTATTTCAAATGATTTACTTCTTTTCTTTGCTCTATTTCTTTCTTCCTTTCTTTCCTTCTTTCCCTTTTCCCCTTAAACATGTTTGGTATCTGGGTAGCCAGACCTGACAGACTAACAGACCGACGAGACTTTTAACTAAGAGCACAGGTCCACCGGACCGCTCTGACGAACAATGACGAATAGTGTAAAATGACGTTTACACAACACGTACAACTGCAAACGAGTTCACGACAAGTGTCGATCAGCTAGTGCTAAGTTAACATCTTGTCGAAAAATCTACATAATGTCAAAAAAACAGTATGTCAAAAATCAATATAACGTCACTAATCCAGATACGTAATACGCATGCCCTGGCGAAAGCACGGGGAAATCTAGTGCGTCATCCTTAAAGTACACTAATCACCTCCTTTCGAATAATTAGGTCTTTAATCAATTCTGCATATAAATTCTAATAGTTCGAGGATTAATAAATCATTATAGGATAACTATCACGAATCGAAGTCACTGAACAAAGAAAATTTTGGATATACGCCGAACTGTGAGGTGGTAGGTGAAGAATACGTTTTACGAAGATACCATTGTCCAAAAATCGCCCCCTCTGGGAACAAAGCCAAGACAGTGCAAACTATTTTTTATGATTAGATGTAGTTAAAATACTTATTGGAAACCCTAAAGGTGCGGGGAGTCTGCGCAATAAGAATTCTTGTAGTTCAACGATAATTAATAAATTATTCTAGGATAACACTAGGATATCACAAGTAGATACGGCAACGTAGCTACTAACGTCGTGAAAATTCAGTCCCGTTGTTTTGGATTGTAAATATCGTAAAAATCTTGTTTTATTTGATTATTTCGCAACGTTTCAGTTCTGTTGATATCTAATTTTGAATGTGAGTTAAAATCGTCGGTGTCTGTGTCGCTTTTGCACCGAAAATCGGAATTTTGGTTCCCAAAACAATAGTACAACTCAGGAATTTTTTTGTCACCTCGTCAGTGAAGACAGAACCTTCTGTGTGTGCGGTGTTGCGACGTTGAAGTAATATTCTGAGGTAACAGAATTTTATGTCGTGTTTCATGTGGGCAAATACGTTGGCCCAAAGATGGGAGGAACTGAGGATGATGGCGGAGACTCTTTGTGTAAAATATGCAAACACGAAGTAAAAGACAATGAACATGGTCTTTTATGTGAAGGAAAATGCCAATCTTGGTATCACATAACTTGTCTGGGTATTACTAGTCAGCTATATAAAAAAATGTATGGAGAAATTCTGAAGATCCTTATTTGGATGTGCCCTTCTTGTAAGAAACAGCTTAAGCAATTAATGGAACTGGAGACCTGTGCTGATAAGATGAAGACTCTTTGTGACAAATTTGCAAATATTGAAGGAAAAGTTAATAGCATATCCGAAAGTATGGAGAAGTCCTTTTCAAAGCCTACATATTCACAAGTTGCAATCTGTAACAAGCAGTTTTCCGTGGCAAAACCTGTAAATCTGCCCAACTTGATATAAGACTGTATATGCAGAGTGTTCCCCTAAGTTGTTTCACTTACTTATGGAAAGAAAGAAAATTTACATGGGATGGGAGAGATTTCCAGTATATGAAAATATAAGTATACTTAAGTGCTTTAAGTGTCAGCAGTTTAATCACAAATTTAATGACTGTCCCAACAAACCAGTCTGTTGCAATTGTGCTGGAGAACATGATACGAAAGAGTGTGTAAGCCGGAATCAAAAACCAAAGTGCAAAAATTGTGAAAGTGCAAATAAAAAATACTCGACAGGCTATGACATCTACCACAAGGCAAATGATGAGGAATGCTCTACATACAAATATCGTCTGGACAGTGCAAGATCGAGAATCAACTATGGCTGATCCTACAATTGAGCTTCTTGAGGACTTACCAGAGTCTGTAAATACTAGCTTAAGAGTGAGTCCGGGTGTTTTGATAGATAAGATAAATATAGTGGGAAAACTGATTAACATTTTACATATAAACATTAGAGGTTTAATCACAAACTTTAATAATTTGTTGGTATTCTTGGAAACTTACAATATTAATGATTACTGTGATATTGTGATTTTGACTGAATGTCATAAGTTAGAATCTTTTCGAAAGTTTGACATACCAGGTTATGTATCATATTACAACAGTGGTAACTATAATGCTTTCGATGGGGTTATTATCTACACAAAACTAAATTTGAATCCAATTTTTGTCAACTATAAACTACGGAATTCAGAAGTTACCATAACTAAAATTGCATTGTCTGTAAAAAATGTTACCTATACTATATTTGCTTTATATAGATCTCCATCTTCGAGTTTACATGAATTTTTGAATGACTTAAATATATTTTTTGAAACTAATGTTAGTAGTAATAGTAACATTGATATTTTTTTGGGTGATATTAATATTAATCTTCTAAGTAAGGATAATGTTGATGTAAACAGGTATCTTTCCATAATGTTCTCGCATGGGTTTGTTCCATTGTGTCAGGGGGTTACGAGGGAGGTGAGTGAAACCTGTCTCGACCATCTTTTCGTGCGCGACAAAATCAAAGCAGCCTCCAGAAAAATAGATAGCTATATTATAGAACATGACATAACTGACCATCTACCCCTCATGCTTCATGTTTCAGATGACTTCGCTGTAAACTCTACAGAATCTAACTGCCGAAATGTCTTTAAATGTATCGATATGAATAAATTGAAGCACTTAGCATCTGAGGTAGACTGGAACTACAGTTTGGTTTTTGATCAAGCAGAGGAAGCAACCAATTACCTTTTTAAAAAATTAAGTAATATTATAGAAAAGTCAGAATTTGTTAAAAACACCCTGAATAATTATAAAAAGCTTAAACCGTGGATTACAAATGCAATAATTAAATCTATGAAAAACCGAGATAAGCTGAAAAGAGCCCTTAAGCTAAACCCGTCTCCAGCAGAGATATCGGAATACAAAGAATATAGAAACCGTCTTAATAAAATAATAAGATTTACAAAAAATGAGTACTATAAAAGTAAATTTAATCAAAGCTCGCATGATATCAAAAAAGTTTATAAATTAGTTGAAGAGGTAACAAATGAAAGCCAAACAGAATGTCCTATAACTTACCTAAAGGATGAAAAAAATGACATGATTATTGATAAAAAGCAAATTGCTGATTTTGCAAATAACTTTTTTATAAATATTGGTAGAGAAATGTCAGATAAAATTGGGAACCCTCCCACACCTTTTCAATTTATAAATAGCCCTTCCTATTCAATGTATTTAAAACCGACCAACAGGAATGAAATTATTGAACATATAATGAGTCTAAAAAATAGTTGCTCTCCAGGATTAGATAAATTAACGACTAAAATAATCAAACAACTACATGTATATCTCTTGGATCCCTTAGTTCATATAATCAATCTGATTTTCAAAACGGGCAAAGTACCTAAACAATTTAAAATATCGGTTGTATCACCGATTCACAAAGCAGGAGATAAAGAATATATAAGTAATTATAGACCAATAAGTATAATCTCAAATTTAGCAAAGATATTTGAAAAATGCCTTAAGGTTAGATTGGTTGCATTCTTGGACTCAAATAAGTTGTTATCTGAGAATCAGTTTGGTTTTAGACAAGGTTTAAGCACATCACATGCGGTTTATGAATTAGCGTCTAAAATAATGTATCATTTAAATAACGGTGATAAGTGCATCGCTTTGTTTTTGGATTTAGCAAAGGCATTTGACACGGTATCTCATCCTATGCTCCTCCAAGCACTGGAGGGACATGGAGTTAGGGGTGCTGTGTTAAGTGTATTTAGAGATTATTTAATGCATAGGATTCAGTGTGTCAGGATTGCGGACGTTCTAAGTGAACCTAAGACGGTTCAGCATGGAGTTCCACAGGGTACAGTACTTGGGCCAATTCTTTTTAATATATATGTAAATTACCTCTGCAGTCTTGCAGTTGATGGCGATGTAATTGCCTATGCTGATGACACTGTGGTGGTGTTTCATGGAGAGACATGGGAATCAACGGGTGAAAAATTGAAGACTGATTTTGCAAAAATTAAAAACCTTCTGGACACATTTAAATTAACTCTGAATATAAAAAAAACTCATTACATTGCCTTCTCTATAACCATGGCTAATAGACCAGCATTTAATCAAATTAAACTTGATAATATTGATGAGCCTTTGAAAGAAGTAAATGAAATTAAATATTTGGGGGTTGTTGTTGATAAGCACTTGAAGTGGGACCGACATGTGCTGTATTTGAGCAAAAAAATTAGATTTTTCATTCATAAATTCTACGCTCTTCGTAATATACTGAACATTAAACTACTATTAATGATTTACAAAGCACTTGTGGTGCCACTATTGGTATATGGCATAATTGTGTGGGGTGGGATGTACGGTTCAAATCTTGGGCAGCTAAAAGTGGTGCAGAACCATATTGTAAGGATCATTCTAAAAAAACCTAGACTATATCCCACTATGCAACTTTATTCACAAGAAATAAACAATATTAAAATCTTATATATCCTTGCAGTATGTAGTTTTGTACACGCAAGTAAGAAATTAAATACAAATTATGTGTCCCACAATTATATGACCCGAGCAAACACCACTCATAACCTGAACGTCCCGCAGTCCAGGCGAGATTTAAATTTGCGTTTTGTGACATATCTTGCACCTAAATTTTACAATTTGATTCCTGCTAATATCAGGAATATTGGAAATAATAAAAAATTTAATATTTCGTTTAATATGTTCTGTTGGGAAAATCGTGAACAATTTATGCGTCTATTTTAAGTTGATTTGAGGTAGTTTGATCTGCCTATTTGTTCCATCTCTTTCTTCTTGATATTATTGTGACACTTTTTTCTGTGATCTTAAGTTAAATCTATTACTTACAAAAATATGAAATTTTCTTTCATTTTGTATATATCGTGTATCATGTTTTGTTTGTATAGTTGAGTGATTTTATACAAAAATATATATTGCACGATATTTATCAATTAATTACTGTTTTGGTCTGTTTTTGCGCATACAAGTTTTTAAACTTAGGCGCTCATATATTATAGAGAAACCTTTTTTTTGTTTCGTTAATTTACAGATATATATTATTTTTATATTGGTAAATTTTGGTTCTGCTGAATAAATGTGGTAGAGTTCAGGGCGTACTGTTCTCTCCAACAACAACAAAAAAAAATAATAACTAACATTAACCGAGGATACTGTATATACCAAATATCGCATGTTCGCCGAACTACCCAAATAAGGGGGTAGAAAATATGTGAAAGGCACGTTTCAACGTTTTTCAAATATGAGTGCTTTCTTATCCAAGCAAATGGCCGATCTGGGGACATACGCAATATCATTATAAGTATTTATAATTAGGAGTAGCCAAGAATACTCAAACGAAACTCAAAAAGTACGGGGAAAATACTGTCCCATCCCTAAAGTAGGCTGATCCCCCTATTCAATAATAATTGCATGGAAATCCTGATAATAAAAGATAAAAGAGAAACAATTCTATGGTAATTAACATTTACTGAAATCAGTGAGTACAAAAAATGTCGGATATATTCAGAACTACCTCAAATAGAGACGGAAAATACGACAAATATGCATCTCTACGTTTTTTTAAGATATAAGTACTTTTACTAAAGAAAGTGTTCCTACCATTGAACTTTATAACTTCTGGGCAAGTTTAGAAAAAAACATGAAAATGCGGTGATTTTTAAAAATATTTTTACAATGTTGCTTTGACGCCCACCTTTCATAACTGCACAACTATAATACAAATAAATGCCAGTAGTAGGAAAAGGAAGAGCCCTTTGTGCTAATCTTTGAAAATTAATTAGTGGTCAACATACCTGCAACATGGCATAGCCATTTGCAGCCAGGAGGAAGTTTTTGTTGGAACTTAAGGAGGGCCTTTAGGAAAACATATCACGTTGCACCGCCATCGCCAGCAGCACAACATCAGATTCAATTAGCCTCTGGTCTGCAGCCTGTCGGTGGAGGCTAATGGATCTTGAGGCAACTTGATGCAACTATACAACATGTGCATCATGCTCATCTTACATCAGAAGCGGGCGTGGTGGGAGATATCTCCTTCAACTCTATCAAGTGGTCAACTATTACCGCACTTAATGCATTAGCAGGAAAACATTATAATAGATTAAATTAAGGTGCTGTGATTGGGGAACCTTTAAGCTGAATATCAGTCAAGATACAAATAGTAATCAATTGAAGATTTTTTTCTTGAAACGATTTCTTTTACGTCCTATGCCAATACTGGCGAAAGATTTCTAAATTGAGATATTATATTTTTTTGGTCGTTATATGACATCTACACCAAAAACCATGTCACTCATTTCCGTAGGTCTGTCTGTCTGTCGGTCTGTCCTCTAATTTTGTAAGCGCCTATAACTTGAGAAGTACCGCTTGGATTATGATGAAATTTTCACACAAGGTTACTACAATGCCAAGGATGCGTTGTAG